CTTTCATCACGGTGGTGAGCTGACTGATTGTTCTCGTCCTGTTCGCCTTGATGTGCGATATTAGATTGAACACCTCCTTCTCCGACCGGAAGTGGATGCGAAACCGCAGGTATTTGCCGATGTTGCATTCCAGCTTTCAATTCTGCATTCTCTTTTTTGAGAGCTTCAATCAAGTTCATCAACTCCTCAAGCTTTGTTTGCTGGACAGCCTCCATCGGATTGGAGCTTTCACCTATCATTATTCCCGAACGGAGTAAAGGCATTAATCTCAAGTTCGCGAGTAGATCCGAGCTTCGTGAGTAGGAATTTTTAGATCTGGCTTCTAATTCTCCGAATTATGCTCACTGTTTACGAGATCTGAATTGTCTGAACTCTAAATCCGTCAGATCCTGCCACAATCGAACAACTCGTTGTTGCGTAGATCTGAAGTCACTCCTGCCAAAGCTTCAAGAATTGTAATTCCTCCAAAGTAGGTCACAATCGCTCAGATCTGGATCCAAATCCCAAAGATTGAGTCTCGATCAACCGAATTGGTTTGAATCCACTCGATATTCCTCATTGATCAACCAAACTTCCATGCGTTTCCCACAGACGGCGCCAATTGAAGATGCAAGAAATTCGTTCCCCTCTTTCTCTCTCTAGAATTCTTACACCTCCCCTCCAAAAAGATCCCCTTCCTCCTTATTCCTTATCCTACTTATAGATATTTTCAAGATATTTACAAGATATTTACAAGATATTGACTGATTGCTGGATCTGGGCCTATTCCTCCATAAGTCCTGGTCACCTTTGATGGGCTTACTCGCGTTCGGCCCATATGGCAGTGTCTTTATATGGGCCGACCCAGCTGTACGGACTGAATGTAGTGTTTGCAAGTCGGATCCGGCCCATGTCGTCCGGGGCCTCCTCAGAATTGGACTCATCATCCGAAGCCACAATTCACAAACCATCGCCGGAATCGCGACTTCACTACTCACTGTTCACTGCTATCGCCACCACCCGCCAAGTCCCCTCCTTGCTCGTCGGCTGTCTTCATCCTCGCCAATCCGTTACCGCTTTACCCGCCGCAAGGCCACTGCCATTTAATCCCGCCGAGTATCCCTCTTGCTCACCATCCACAGTTCACTGACCGACCTCTCCACAACCGACCCCTTCATCGTCGGTCAGACCATCACGGCCGAGCTTACCGCTACACCAGCCCATCTCCACCGGCCAAGCTCGCCATCACCGTCTCTCCACCATCCAAGCACTGCCGAAGTTTGTGATGCCACAGGTTGTGGTGATGATGCTAGAATGCAATACTTTTGTTGTGGTTGTGGGTTTCCGAAGACAAATAAGGCCCATCATGATTTGGGTTTCTAGTATTGAAGAATGAGTGTAAGAGGACGAACAAGGCGGATCGTGATCTCTGGGTTTGGTAAGGGCATTTTTGGAAAAGTGAAAGGGTAAAATGGGTATTATATTAGTTGAGGGGGTGTTTTTGCACAAATTGAAAAGAATAGGGGTGTTTTTTGCACACCTTTTAAAATAAGGGGTAAAAGTGCTATGAAAGGTATACTTCAGGAGTGTTTCTTGCACTTTCCCCATATTTTAATATCACCCACTACAATTTCATCAATGTAAAGGGTCTTGTTTCACCAATTAATTGGTGAATTTCAAAGTATAAAATGATACGTATTATTTTGATAAGTTTAATGACGCTTTTGTATGTAACTGCAGTTACAGCACTAGAGTATAATATTATATTTAGATTATTAAAGATTGTTCGAAGAATTCAATTCTATACAATTAAATTCGAATTCCACAAATTTCAATTCGAATACTACAATACTATATAATCGAACACACCTTAACAGAATTTTGAAAGTTCACATATTAGAAGGGGCCAGTCTTGGACCATAAACATGCTGTGTGAATGATACCTGCCCAAGCCCAAATATATACCACCAATGACCCAAAGGGTTCGGTTTTCATTGCATTGGACTCCATCCATCCCTCTCTTCACGTTGAAGTATCTTTTTCAACATAAGTGGTTTTACCAAAATATGGTGATTAGAGCAGTATTAAACTGTAGTTGTAGCGCAGTCACACCCCATTTACAGATAATTAAAAGGTACTCAAAATATTGGGCCGAATTAAATGGGGGCGAGCATTTTGAAAATTTTAAAATAAAATAAATTAAAATATAATTAAACTGGTTTAATTAATTTGGAGGTAAGCCTCTTTCATGATTCAATCTGAACCCATTAAACGCCCAAAAGAGTGTGAGGATGTTTCGTGGGTTGGTTCAAGTCTAGCTGCCAGTACCATATTGAGGTGGGCTTGACAGCCCAAATGAAAGCAATGAGCATACAACACCATCTAGCCTCTTGTTGCTGTTGAAAAAAAAAAAAAAAAAATCGAATCTTGAGGATGTAGGCTCAAATATTTAAACTCAAAATACAATTCATAGACTTCTTAAATATATTAGTAATCTAATCTACTTTGGTTTCAGAAACTTTCAGTGTATCTACAAAGGATTATTTTTCTATATATTTCCATCTAATCAATTAGAGTAAAAGACTGAATCGTTTCTAATCTGGGAGCATTTCCTTTGAGATTAATAGTAAATTTTAAAGGTGGGTAAATAATTTACGAATTCGATTTGATCGTGTCATTCGTACCGATCTAATCGAATTATTATACTCACATATCGGTGATAAATTAATAATAAATTTTAAAAACGATACAGATAAAATTATATTCACAGTGACATATTAATAATAAATTTTAGAAGTGGACAAATAATTTTATTTGAATATAAATTGGTGTCATTAATAACATCAAAATAATTAATCAGCCTTCAGTTACGTACATCAGTAAAAAGTACTCACTCCGAAACATTATCCATAAGCAGTGGCTTTGATTTTGCAGACATTCAACTTGTTTTCTTTCTTGACTTTACTCTTCTTTTTTTCTCGAGAAAAGGTAAATATTATAAAGAAAAGAAAGCAACTGTACCCAGCGAAGATCAGCCACAAAACTGGAGAAGGCCAGTTTACAGAGAGCGCAAACAGAGCCAAAAACCAAAGCAACTGAAAAACTTAAATATATAATATATAATGATACGAAATTTTTGACTAAATAGCAATTTTAAGTGACATGAATAAATTTAAGGAGATAAGGTAATCATCTGATAAGGTAATTAAATGATAAGATTTGATTAATTCAAATATTGTACTAATAATACGATTAACTAATTTTTTCTCTCTCAGAAGAAAATGCGAAAACGACAACTTCAATTTTTTATAAAAATAAGGCCAATCAACAGAAAAAGGTACGTCATAAATTTCATATTTAATGCTTGATCGGAGATGAAATGGAGGAGGACTAACTTGACCGTCGGAGTGCATCCGGTCAACACCATACCGGTCATCTCTTTTCTCTTATCTTGCAAAAATCGTCACTGAATTTATCTGGAATAGCTTTATTGTCATTCATTCACATTATCGAAAATGAAAACCGCCAAAATCATGAATAATCTAGATTAATTGCTTAGCAAAAGCGAGGAAAAAAATAAGAATTATATCACATGTGATTTTGAAAATTCAACTCGGTGAATAATAACACTAGCCAAGGGTCTGTGCTTAACACTAAAAGTGATGGTTCAATAGATGAAAAAGAAATAAGTTCCAGTACCGTCTTTCCAAGAAAAAATTGACTTTTTATTTTTATAGATTAGACTGGCTGTCACTCAGACTATTCCCAAGGAAGATTGAAATTGACTTTAACCACTAACATATACTAGTATAATTCTCCCATTGATAATCTACTTGATTGACCTGTCCCACTAGCTAGCTAGCTAGGAACCCCTAATTACATCCTAAGCATGGCTCAGATAGGAGTTGTTTGGGGAATTTTAAACCACAAATTAATTTATAAAGAGGCCAAGCTTGTGTGGTTGGTGTAATCTTCACTTGAGTCATACAATTTTTTTTAAATGAGTGTAACTCTCACGTTCTGAGTGTATTTTTGTTCTCACACTCAGCATGTTGTGATTCAAATTATTATTATTTATGACTTAATTTTACTATTCTTACACTTTCACTCTTGAATTCGATCTCGTTCCCGTTATCTCTTTATCTGACTTAAGTTTTCACACTTCCGGTCCGCCTTAATTCTAAACATAACTGTTTGGACAATCATTCAATAAGAAGAATATCACGACACCAAATGGGCAATAACTTAAACTTGTACAAGTCCTTTCAATCTCTTCAAGGGAGATTGGCAAGGCATGGGTGTATATTTGCTTAACCTGGTAGAATATCCCACAATTATATAATGCCCCTCCCCCTCCCTCCCACAACTATATGCCTTTACATAAATAGAGTTTATAAATATGAACTATTTTTTCTTCTAGTTTTTTGTGATCAGATGAATCCTGTTAGTTGGATCAATAATATATATGTATAACTAATATAGCTTGTAGGTTTCTTGATATTCATTCTTGTGTGTTTGTGTATACATATTAAAAAAATAATACTAAATAAATTCTGAAACAGCTAAAATATAAGTAAAGCCTCTAAATTAGATAAATCAGTTTTTCACCATGGATTGATGCTTTTGCTGAACCCACTACCGAAATTATCCGGTAAGGACGAAAGGTTCTTCCTAGAATCAACAAATTCAAGTCCATTATAATATAATTTTGGCACTTTCTCAAATAACCTCCCAATCCCATCTCTACCCTATCTATCTATCCAATGAAGAATAACACCACCTTTAGCGTCTCCATCATGCTAATCATCATTAAACACAGTTGCAAAGTCCTTATTGGCACACATGCGGTTCATCAAAAAGAAAATGATAGTGAATATTTATATTTATATATATATATACACACACACACACACACACACACACAGAGGCTATATATATATATGGAGCATCCTAGCTAGCTTCTAATTAATTGCCATGAGTGGATTATATAAAAGCCTAACCCATGCTTCTTTACCTAATTAAAATTAATTGATACCCACCTCTACTACAACAGAGCACTTGAAACCCTAGCTATGAATAGCCAACCATATATGTATTTTTATTCCCACGTGACCTATATAGCGAGGTTGGCATCTTCCCTATCACATAGACAATAATGTAAGCAGTGAAGAGAAGATAACCAAAAATTAATGTTCCAGCACTAAAACTTCAGCAAAAAAATATATAAGGCGGCCTAATTATAGATTTTGAAATGTCTTTCACTTCAAATAATGAATTTGTTGATATTAGTGCTTTTACATAAACACGTTAAGAGTGTCGACGGTGGTCGGAGGGACTGGTGTACAAATCCCAACCTTAAATAGATGGGACAAAGATGGACCACTTACCCAAGCTTGATTAGTCCAACTCACAAGGCAAAACATACATGGATGTCAACATTATAACAAAGACACCATGGGGGGCACCCAATTGAGGAAATCTTTAAGAGATATTGTACTGGTCACACATGTGAAAGGAACAAGAGAGGAACCCCCCAGCAGCCACAATAATACATGGATATGGACTTATCAAACCCATCACATAAGATCGAGGTTGCTTTTTTTTTTTCTTTTTCTTTTCCCTCGATCGCAATTTGATAGTATTTTTGTTCATACCTCTCTTGGGTCAACAAAAAGAGCTCTTGTTGCTGGTTTTTTTGCCAATTCACGAAGTGGGTGGTTTTTCTCTTCATGATTATTATTCTTAAGGTCTTTTATGCACCACAAATCCTCTGGGCATGACAGTAACTTCCAATGTGGGATGTGAAGTTTGAGGGAGTCACAGCTTCCAACTTCTGTTACAATCACCTTACAGTCCTTACACTTTTTTCTGGCCATGTTGTGCACGAAATGGCAAAGCGTCCGGACCAGCTTGCCGGATAATGGGCCCTCCCGGTGCACACCATACATGAAGTAGAATCCAAATGGGCGGAAAAAGTCCGGTAGCGCAGGCACTTTGAAGCAAGGAAATATCCTTTCCATCAATCTAGAACTCTTTGCATATAGAAAGCAAGATAACGGTGCTTTCCCTATCCTCAGCTTGAATAGTTCTCCACTGTTCCAAACACTCACCATGGCCCAACTGGTTGGAAAACGTCCCTCCACCCCAAATTGACTCCATGACTCGCCTCGTGGATAGGCCACCCAAGTGCCCAAGCTCACCTCATTTCCTAGAACTTTATCTATGTCCTGTGGGAAAAAGTCGGTTGACCCCATGAATTTTCGATACACAAGTTCAGCTTCATCTTTCTTTAGCTTCAATATCTCAACGCTTGGCGAAACACGATACAATCGATTGTTAACAGGGTGGACCAGGATTGATGGACTTCTGAACTTGACAAACCCGAGCTTGTCCACGAACAGCCTCACCGAGGCTTCATTGTCTTTCTCGGTGGCCATGTAAGCATAATCAGCTTGGTTGGTGATGAACCATTCTACCAAATGGTGCACTAGCCTTGAACCAATCCCTTTTCGCCGGTGAAGAGGTGAGACCCTTAGCCCTAAGATGTATCCCACCTTGGCTAGATCCTTAGGGGGCTTATGGATTGTGACCACCTTTATAGATCCTTGAATGACACCAACAATCTCCTTGTCCAACTCGGCTACCTAACCAACAAAAGATATATATTTATTTTTCTTTCCTTTTTTTTTTTTTTTTTTTTTTCTTTTTTTCTTTTTTCGATAAGACATCATCAATATGAACACAATAAAGAAAATGAAGATGATGATATGATATGATAATTATAAAGTTATAAATATATGAAAATTAGTGGTACCAGCATGTTGTACATCGGACTGTTACGGATTCTACAGATGGGGTCACCCATGGTATCTGTGAAGAGAAACACATGCTCTGCTGGCCCTACCTCACATCTTCTCTCCAGATCCTCCACTCTAGCTCTGTCAATTTCCTCGTCGTAGCTTCGTATCTTAATCTTCACAATTGCCATTTTACTTACTAAAAACATATGTATATAAGAACCATATATATGTGATATGTCACGCATATATATATATATAAACACTTTATTGAGAACTCTACAATGGTTTCTAGCTCTCTTTACTGCTAAGAGAGCTGGTGAAACAATAAAGAAGGGTACCAGCTAGTTTCTGCTAGCTACATACTGCTAAGGACACAAGTTTGAAATTCATAGTGATCCTCCGATCCATCGATCCATTATATATATATACACACACACACATTAATACGAAGCTACGTAGAATCACTTTATAAAAATAAAATCAAAATGGTAGGTCCGTATTTGAAATCTTTTATCCAAGACCCTTTATTGGAAGGACATTGAGTAGTGGAGTTATTATCTAAGGTGAGGAGATAGAGGAATGTTCTTTGTTTGTAAGGATCAACATCATCATCAACCTAGGTCTCAACAATCATAGCAGACAAAAGGTGATTAATTATAGAATGTGTATTTTGTCTCTACCCTTATCATTATTAACTTAATTACCCCGGCCATCCACGTTAGGATAACCTCAGCCTCACGACATTGTGCACGCCTAAGCATATGGGCTGTTGTTGTTGGCCAACCCTCCTCATTCCACACACACACACTAACACATTGTACCAAAGAAAAATTAAATTATATACCCCATTGACAGTACTGATATAAATCATACATGTACACGTACCACACCAACCCGAATTAATCCTTACCAAGCTCAAAAATATCTTGGAATATAATCTGAGCTTGCTCTTTCTAAGATTGTTATGATCAGAAAATTAAAAATACTAATCGTAACGTGGAGAGATGCTATTGAAGTAAATTAAGAGCGGCGGGTTACGTGTATGACATAAGATTAACTGAGTAATGTAGCTAACATTATAATTAAGTGGAGGATTAAATTAATGAATGAGATTTTTTTGTGTTTCAGCTTTTTGTAAGAGGGGAGGTCGTTTTCTTCACACACTGATCTTTTTCATTTGTACTATTAATCTTATTGTATGATTCGTTGTCTGGAGTCTCTATGTTGTATTGGGTGGTCCCTCATTTTAAACACTTGGATTCGGAAGTGAAAGTGAAACACCACTACAACCATGTCTCGCTTTCAGCTAAATTAGATGTATATAATATGATGATAAAGAATTTAATAATTATCATGGCATACTCACGTGCTTTAAGCACGTGTACTAGAGGGTACCAAACTTGCCATAACCTAATTAATATATTGCCCTTATAATATACAGTAATAAATCTAATTTGTATAGTTGGGGTCAATTGAACTAAGCTGAGTTTGGATTTATATTAGTTTCACGACCTATAATGATTTAGTTTAACATAAATATATTTTTAATTTTGTTATTAACAAAGGATTAACTTCACCCGTTAATCACATTAAATTTTAAGTTCATTTAAGTATGAAGTTCAGAAGTTCGAAACGAGAAAGAACTTTTGAATGTGAAAATAAAAGTGCAATCGAAAAATAGGAAAATATAAGTGAAAGAGAGTCACATAGTTCATCTGTGATCTATTTGAGACAACATTAAAAAAAATAAAAATAAAAAAAATCCCTAATTGCTGATAGTAATATTTCAGCACTATACGACACATTCATCATTTGTGATCTATTTGAGACAACATTAAATAAAAATAAAAATAAAAATCCTAGTTGCTGATAGTAATATTGCACTATACCACACATTCATCATATCACTAACACACAAAAAATGGCCACGGAAACCCTAACTGTCTCAATCTCCTCTTTTCCTTTGCACTTTAACCTACTTAAAGGTCTCAACTACCTCACACTTATTAATTCATTAATCAAATGGACTCCCCATTATTGCGAAGAAAAGACACGTACACTATAGAGGCAGAAACCAATCACACAGCGTACACGTGTTTAAACACTCTCACATGTGGAAATCACGTTGGGCCCCACCATTAGCAACAAGGGGGTGAGAGATCTTTTTACTAGACATCTTTACTAAAGTGGGGCCCTATATTCATGATTTAACCCTCCACAAGTGCCATCCAATAAATGTACAATCTGTTTTCTCTCTGTTTTTCTTTGCATGCATTATGTTGTCTGCATGCTTTATCTCAATGATACTTTGGAGCCATTTATAATGTGTCCATGAGTAGTGGGACCCCACATTTTCTTGTGGGGGGAGGAGATGGGTCGGTCCCACACGAAAACACATTGGTGGGTTGGGGGAATTTGGCTGTTTTTGGGGGTTCGATCCTTTTATTGGGCCAGGTATATATATTTTGGTTCCATGGTTCAAAATTCATACTATTGTAATTATAGGTGTGAAAATGTTTTTTCTTAGTATCTTCCAAAAGAGTCTCCTTTTTAATCATCCCTATCCATTTACTCTCCCTCCACTCTCACTTATACAAATTTACCGGTGTTAGAGAGAGCATTGACACTTGGATGCAAAACACAAGATAATGGAGGTCCATTGGTCCTCTCTACATTAGGGTTCCTCATAATGCAATAGATCTCACCCTTCCACTAACTCCTCACCCCCCACACACACACACACACACACAGCATTCTGAAATGATGAGTCTAGAGTTTAAAGTAGGTAAAAATAAATAATAACAACGTTACATGTAGATAGATAAGAGTACGCATTCAGAAATTTCTTACATATAGATCTATTGTTGGTTAGCAAGAACGTTTGTGTGGATCTGAAATATTTCAGACCTTATCTTATTGGAGAGAAGCCACAAAGAACAAACAAGAACAAAAAATACTTAGCCAAAATAAAATAAAATAAAAATTCAGAATAAGAGAAATTGAAAACGTTATCTATAAAACAATAAAATTCGATATGTTTTCAAGAAAGGCAATTCAATAAGAAAATATCTGGGATGAACAACGAGTTTCGGAATTGACAAGCTGTCACTAACGAGTCAAGTCTAGTGATTCTCATATATTCCCATGTATCACTTATCCTTGTCGGAGAGAAAACTAAATGAATGAGATATCTTTAGAGAAGTGACTGTGTTATTCTCTCATATTGTTCTCTTAGATTGAAGGGAAGAGAAGAAAGTAGAAATGTTGGTTAGGAGAAAAGAAAAGGAAGAGTTGTAAATTGTTTTAATTATTAGATCTATCACTATCTAATATTGTTGTAATTTATGAAAAATAATATTGTAATTTAATTTAATTTTTAATAAATCCACTAGTTTTTTTCATACGGAATAAAAATTTGTGAAAAAAAAAAATGATGATTCACCACTCCTGTGATATAATTTCCCTCTCCTTCCTTCTGACTTGATAATCAAAATCAAGGCCTACGCCTTTGGATTTGGGCTTCAATTAAGGGTGAAGTCCAAATTATGATGGCCCTGAATGATAATGGGTCCACCTTGAAATCTGGGAGTCCCATTTTTGGTACTAGCGTACAAACAAGCCATGTGACGAAACTGACACCAGTAAAAAAAAAATTAAAAACACGGATTGAGGATAAGAAAGATACCTTTTTCCATATCCAGAAAACGAGACACTACTAGTACCATGATGAGACTTGGATAACCAAACTCTTCTTTGTTCAGGTGAAACATTAACATTTAAAAAAAGAATGTTATGCCTTTAATAGGATACTAAAACACTACTATAACTTTTTCACTGTTAATGTTTTCGTACCATCAAGGGTAGCATAATGGCATTTGTTCAATTTCCGAACCCACCCCCAACCCTTTACCATATTTTCAAAACATAGTCATACATCAGCTTCCTTGTGTTTGATCAGCTAAGATAGCACCAGGTGCTGTAATTTTGTAATTTTTTATTATTATTTTTTTTTTTGTTCTTTTCATTTCATTAATCGTTTTCCTTTATTTATTTAAACAAAAAAACAGGATCATATGTTCAAGGGTGATAAACAGGGTAAAAAAAAGAGAGGATATTAGTATACCTTAGGAAGGTTGCTTGTTGCAGAGGAGGAAATGAAGAGAAGCTCTGACAGTTCTCTGATACTGATAAATTGACTCTAAAACTTGATATTTGTTAAAAAAAAAACTGAAAATTATGGAGAGAAAAAAATTAGGATCTAAAAAGCAATCCCTGATTCCAACCAGTCATGGGTCATTCCATCCCTAGCCAATTACAAAATCTGAAGTTTCCAATTCATTTATAAAGAACGGTAAAGTGAAACATGTTCAAGCAACTTATATAACAACTTAAAATCTAATTACATCCAAGAGTTGTTTGTGATCATTCTCTCTTAAGTTTGTGAAATAGCTACATATTAGACCTACTATGTTGCTATGAAAAAAAGAACAAGAAAAAAAAAATAAAAAATTACGTAAACCTGTTTACATTCCTCCAAAGTAAAGATAGAGCAGGAAAAGAGGAAAAAGAAAACATAAATCATGATTCATCAACCCACTGTTTAGAATTGTTTCATTGTTCTTCTGAAGTGCCATTTGAGTATTCCTCACCTGCAACACCGGTATTCCATTTGGCAACCGGTTCATGCCCGTGGAATTCGAATAAGAGTAGCTGGGACCAGTTGGGCTCCCTTGTGAGTACCAGTTTTTCTGCAGCTGTGCTACTTCTTGTTGCCACAAGACGAGCCTCTCTACCCTGCAAACAAGTAGGGAAGCCCTTCAATAGAACTTCCATGCATATGGTACAGAATTACATGAAATAAGATCTTACAGACAACAGGAACCGAAATATCCATCGTTTAATCTCTAAATCAATTATTAACTGAACAAATTGGCAGTATTCAAGAAATAACTAGTTGTGATTAAACCTCTGTTCAGTTAAGTTGAGTTCAGGAAATTATAGGGGAAGAGAATTACCTTTTTCATGCACTTCTTTAAATGAGGGGCAAACCTTCCAGCCATAATATATCACCCATAGTTCATGCACTCGAATATTCATTGGCTACAGGAGCATGAGTTTGCCCAAATATGTCAACCGCATGTTTGCTATTTGCTTCACCACCATCACTAGGATTAGCTACCATAGCTCGTGCTGACAGCCTTAATTTTTCCTCCTCTTCATCCAAATGACGATCAAGGCCTAGCCTCGCTATACATTGACACTCAGATGCAACACCAACAATAATGGAATCAAGAAGGTCACTGAGAGAGTGAGGAAAGCTGCAAATGTAGTTGCTGAATGCACACAATATGAAAGGAGTTTCCACATTTGGGATTGATGGCCATTCTTTGCCACATTGGAAGCTTATGAAAATTATATATAGTTGCTGACTTTAATTTAAATTATGATAATCTGTCAGGAGTGGTAGTAAATATATAAAGTGGCCACCTTTTAATTTTCTGATCATTGAAGTTGAGATTGATACTGTTTTTCAGTTCTCTTTAGGTGGTATTTCTGGGAACCAATTTGTTCAAGCAATTTGAGATTTAATGTTGAATTAGTATCCTAAAAATTAAACTCATTCTATTGTTTAAATGATCCTTACTTGATAACTTAAAAAATAATTGGCTTAAGAGCCTAGAGATCATTGCAAGATAAGTATTATGAAATGAAAACGATTAAAAAATGGACAAGTTCGCGATCGTCCCTACCAACTTACCTGTTAAAAAAATTGATTGAGCATTCTACTATGCAAGATTTGCCTACTCCAGCACTCCACTCTCTGTTCTGATAAAAGGATATGCAAGTACTCCCTGTTTATATACAAATAAATAAATAAAAATGTTACAGTACAATAAAACATAACAACAATAATAATAAATACAACAATGGAAATGATCATCCTAACCTGAGGAGACTTTCTTTGTCGGTCTATCATACTTCTACTCTATAGGAAATGTCCTTCCCAACGGCCATCTTGTAAAGCTCCAATCCAAACTTTGGGGATGTGTGCAATTTTCCAATAATCCTCACCTTGTCTGTCTTGATTCAATTTCATAACTAATTTATGAGGCATATCAACAAGCTCAAGGATTTTAAGGTTGGTTAGATGCTCAATACCTGAGGGCACCTCCTCCAACAATTCACATTCTCGGAAATAAAGCTGTTCAAGAAATGGCATTGCACCCTCCTCCACTGTCACCCGACTTAAACCTTTTAAGCTTAGAAGCCACAATATCTTGAGCTTCTGAAACCCTCCGCACTTGAAGCACAATTCCTCCCTTTCATACGCTTGAAACAATTCAATCTCTACCAGGTTGGGCAAATCTTGAAGGTAGGGCAGTGGATCATCTCTTAATTTGCTCCATCTTAATTTTACTTTCACCAGATTATGGAGAGAAGAAAACCAATGTGGTGACTTCTCTAAACGTCCATCCAAATAAAGTCGTTCAAGAAACTTAGGAGGTGAAGACAAAGATTGAATATTAATGATCTCGTCCTCGTCAAATGAACCTACAGTCAATGACCGAAGGTTGCTCAGCTTATCAATGGAGGAACACAAAGCCAGTCCATCTTGACTTCTTAACTTAACAATCCCTAATCTCCTCAGTTGGGTTAGCCTTCCTAACTCTTCTGCTATAATGCCACCATCACCATGGTTTGCCTCAATGTAACAGAGTTTCTGCAGAGATGACAATCCTCCTATCCTTGCTAATGTTTTAAAACCATCTATAAAGTGCAAATAACCTTCTTTTATGTTGTAACCATACACCAGGAGATGACGAAGTCGTTGGAGCTTTAGGATTTGAATAGGCAACTCAGTTACATAGGCGTGTTTAATATCCAAAGTTTGAAGGTTTTCAAGCTTTCCAATGGAGTTTGGAAGCATTTTAATCTTCGTTCTCCTCAAGCTTAAATACCTGAGATGAAATAATTTGACAACTGCATCTGGAAGTGTCTCCAAAGAAGCACCTCTGAGATCTAAAACCTTCAACAACCTCACACCACCATTGAATAATATCTGCACCGTTGACTTGGACAGATGTTCTGCCACACCAAACATGAGCAATGAACGAAGTTGAGAAAAACTTTTACTTTCCTGTACATTCCCCAAGGTATAGTGGATTGATAGGCGTCGAACTTTTTCCGGCCACCACGTGTTTCCTTCACTAGCTATTGTTACAATGTTTTGTTCTCTTGACTTCGAAATAGTAATTTCACGCAAAAGGTCATGAATGCGTATAATTTTAGGCCTTCCATCTTCAGTTGTATCTGCAACTTGGACCAAGCTTCTGTTGACAAGCTCATTGAGGTAGCCCTCGGCAGCTTCTTCTGTTGTTTTTCCAGCCCTAACTTCCACAAATCCTTCCGCAGTCCACAGTCGAACTAGGTTCATGCTCTTTATATGATAATCCTCAGGGAATATACAAAAGTACAAGAAACAAATTTTCAGATAGTAAGGTAGATCATTATAACTGAGAGACAATATTCTTTTCATACTCTCAAATTTGTCATTGCCTTCTAGTTCATCACAAAGGCTGCGGTGAACCATTTCCCATTCATGCATTCCACTCATGTCTTTCGTGGCCAAAACACCACTAATTGCCACTATTGCAAGTGGCAAGCCCTCACATTTTCCTAAGATACTTCGTGAGAGTCCTTCTAAATGTGGAGGACAATAGTTCTCTTGGAATGTCTTCCTACAAAACAGAGTCCAAGAGTCTTCCGGAGACAATGCATTCATAGTATAGATGTTACCATGAGATTCTACACAAGAGGTAGAAGCTACATTAACAATGCGCGTTGTAAGCAGTACACGGCTGCCGCGATTGTTATTAGGCAATGCATATTTGAAAACATCCCATGCATTTATACTCCAAACATCATCTAGAACAAGTACATACCTGCTCTGGTGGAGGAAATCTTTGATTAGTGCCTTCAGCTTGTTGTTGTCCATGGTTTCGACTCTTTGAGGGACCGGCTGCCTAATTTCGTCGAAGAGTTGTTGAATTAAGTCTTCTAGGAGCTCCCTGAGCTCAAACGATTGAGAAACGGTGATCCAAGCATGGTTCTGAAAAATTCTTTTCACCTTTACATCCTCATAAACTCTCTTAACAAGGGTAGTTTTTCCTAACCCCCCCATTCCCACCACTGAAACAACTTTGAGTTTCCGATTGTCTTCAACAAGCCACTCAATTAGCTGTTTCCTAGGCTTGTCAAAGCCCACAAGTTCAGCTTCTTCTAGTAGAAGTGCATCACCTCGACGATCATACCATGCATTGTTGATAATACTGGAGTTTGATCCTTGCTCTGAGAGACTAAATTTGTAACGGTATCTCTGATGTCCCTCGGCAATATTGCTGACTCTGTACTTGATTCTTCGTATCTCAGAAGCAATTCGATTACGAGCTTTCAAGTTCCTGATAGAACAAGACATCCTAAAGAGAAAACCATAGAATCCGTCCCCTTGATGATGAGCGAGGTGGAGCATGAATTCATCATGAACATCTTCAGTGTCGTAAGCAACTTCCCGCACTTGCTTAACCCATACTTGGAGTTCTGGATCAGTCTCTTCCTTTGCATCAGCAACTCTCAGGAAAGCCCTCACGCGTTCCAGTTCATCTCTGATGCACTCAACTTCTTCCCGTATTCCTCCTCCCAAGAGCTTTGCCTCTTTACAAAGCAAGAGCGTCAACTGGTTGAGCAGAAAGGTTACTGCACTCTCTGCCATTCTCTCTTCAATTTTCTTCAGGTAGCCTTCAGGTGGTGGAGTCATGGAGGGAATGCCTGAAGTTTTATGTACAAACTAGGCCAACGTTTAATGGCTCAGTTGACTTTTTTTGGTTAGGTACATGCTTAGCTAACTTAAAAGCCGAAAAATAGAAGAAATAATAAATCAAAGTGGCATGATTCAGAATATGGTCTATTAACATTGATAAGGTCAAAATCACACAATATAAGATCATTGCTTGTCGAATTGATAAGGTTACTTAAAGCCAGCTTATTTCCATGAATTTAAGAATTGCTTATCGAATCTAGTGGATAGTAGATTTCAGTTGGTAAATCCTCTAATGCAATTTTTCATATTTTTATCTTACTGTTTATAAAACAATTATTGTTTTGATGTGGCTGGCAGAATAATTTATTAGAGGGCACTGATAAGTGATAGGGCTAAGGAATAAAAATAAAATAAAATTGCATTAGTAGAAGAGAGAGCTGAGCTTATCAGACGCAGAAGGGATCTTTGACTTTTGGTGGTTTTGTCTCTGTGTGTGTGCTCTTGTGTGTGTTGGGGAATCTCAAAGGGTGGCCTTCTATGGGGGTTGTCATGCATTTATGATGGATCCTTATGTGGAATAAAAGCAACATGAAGGGGGCAATGGTTGGACAATGGAAAGCAAACAAACTCTTATTTTTTTCTAACAGTGTACTTCAATCTATGATATGGGATGTGTGAGCGTTTTAGAGTTTGCAACTTTCAAGCTGAAATGAGCAGGGCACCTGTTTTTTTGTGATAGCACATGCACAATAACAATTGGTGACATGACACAGACACCATGTGTGTAAATTCGAACAGACAAAACAAGAGAGAAGATCAAAGTCCATCATTAAAACGGTTATTAAATTGAGCAACTTCATCGCAGATATGAAATTGAAGGTAAATCTAAGCATGGTTTATCATGATCAAAATTCTCACTTAATTAGCCGTTCTTATAAAGAATATCATTCCCCATCCCCTCATCCTGCATATGATGGAACCCAATCTTATGTCATCCGTGTAAAATATAATCCAGATAAATAGAAAGTTCCTAATTTTAATAATAAAAAAGAAAAACATAGAAAATATTATATTTATATCTGCATTTTCGAAGAGCATAATATCATTCCCTCAGTGCAATACAACTATCATATGCTAAATTTACATTCCAAGATTCGCACATTCACATATTCATCTAAGAAAGGGCACAGATCAGTGTAACTATAGATGGGGTGAGTGCAATTTGATAGGTTATAAACCATCTACCCAGAATTGACCCAAATGGGGCTGTCATGATATAGCTCAATATCCACTGTATATCTCAGAATTCATCAGACAGAACAAGCAAAATCTAGTATTTAAATCAGAGACAGACAGGCCCCTCAAATGAGAGGGAAGAATTTGAATCCCATGGGAGACATTATGGAAGAAATATATATATATATATATATATATACACACACACTCAATTTTAATTGTGACCTTAGGATCTAATCCTACAACTAATTGAAAGAATAGTTGATGTAGGAACTTATCGTTCTTTTAATTTGTCATTAATTACCATTTAGATAAAATGACTATAATGGACAGCTTCTTAAAAGGACAAAAAAAAATAATAATAATCAGTTTTCCCTGATCGGATTAACCATGAATTGCAACTGAGAAAAAAGAAAATTCCATAGACCTCTATGCTGCAACTGCAAACCATGATCTTAAATCAAACAATCACCATAGGAAAAAATAATAGAGAGGTAACCACTAAAGAAATTTAATAAGTGAATGCAATCAGTTGACATGCCACAACAACAGATTTCTGCCACCCACTTCAATTGACTTCCCAAACACCATAGTCTCCACTCCGTTTCCCTGTCAAGACTATGACTACTATTACACGGCCAGATGCATGCCTCTGAAATTTCGCAAATGAACTTCATCTTAGTCAACTTTCATTTCCAATTATTTTTCTAATTTTAAATCGAATATTAGGTAGATGTTGGGTTAGAAATAAGGATTTTACGCACCAAAAGTCACAAGTTGAGTTTGAATTTAAGAGACTTGTCCCAAACCTCAGCCGCACTTCAAATGGGAACATTTGATCAATGGAGTTCATGAATCCACTGGCCCATTAGTCCAAAGTAAGATGGGTCAGAAACACTCCCATCCAACTTTTAGTGGGCTTGGCTGGATTTTGTGGCCCAATTTTGAGGTTAGTATAGTTTTGGCTAGGGGTCCAAGTGAGATTCATTCTATCAAAAAATAAAAAAATCATAGTTGTTAAAAAAAATCATAGTTATAACTTCTATCTAATGTTTAGACACCATTCATTTTCTGCCCGCTATCTCATTGGTGTTATGTGGGGTCAGTGGGGTGACATCAAAGTTATTATCATAAAATGCGTCATCATAAATAGATGGGCGGCACCGCCATCGGGTCAGTGTGTCCCATAATCAGGTGCATCGCATTCAGATAGGACGTACGGATGTCAACCTCATAGACAACGACAAAAGAAGGGCCCACAAATGAGAGCGACTCACCAGCAAGTTCCCTTTCCTTTCCTTTCTTCTTCCTCCCTCCGCAGAGCCTTGTACGACCTGCAACTGTGGGAGCACAATGATGCGTGTAAAAAGCTAAATTATGTGGTCTTAAATCACTGTCCCATGATGGATCGGTTCGGATAAGTCTCTGTTCAAAGCCAATCACTACGTTGTACTCTTGTTTTTATCACAAAATTAATAAATACTCCTGTCTACCACCATTTTCTTTGCTATCTACATTTTCATATGCAAGCCAAGTTTAAGTGAAGTTGATTACAACAATTAGGTATGTGAGTCGAATAAAAAAAAATACATTATAAGAAGTTATGTTCCTTTCTTTTTTAATTTATTTGTTAGATATTCAATCCATTAACTATCATCATTGAAAATCCCACACCCACAAAAAATAAGCACTTAGTTAAGAGGCATTTAATTCAAGTACATGTATGCATGGGTAGATGAATCTCAGACTCACAGTCCCGTGTTTAGATTTAATTTGTTAATTCTATGGCAACAAAATTTTATTACATTACTTAAGTAAATCTGTCAGTCCACTTGATAGTTGGTGAAGTATGAAATTTGAAATTTGACTTTATATTTGAACACAAATAATGAAAAGGGCACCCACGTAGAAGGGGTGCTTTGCACAGTAGCCCGGAATACCTTAGATTACTTTAAAATAAATATATATATATATATATATATATACTTGTTATAATGAAAATAAATACTGTAAATAATAATAATAAGAAGTCAGTATTGTATTGTGGCGTTTGCGGTGAGGTGGGGGATAGATTAACCAGCGTGTGATAAGTGTCACGGGTGGGTGAAAACTTGGTGTGACATTAATAGTCCTTATACATCTCAACACACTGTACAAAACACAATCTATGTTTTACAATTATTGTGGGCAGTATTGGATTTTATTTCCATCAGTGGACTAGGTAAATGATCCAGAAGAAAGGATAACAAATAAACCAAGAAAGGAAAGCTGATTGAGGGTTGACTTTACTGAGAAGTGAAAGAAACCATCTCAGATTAAGCAGAGTTGTATTGATATCAATTAATTGCTTGCAAGGGGCATGTTTGTTGCCCAACTTCAACTACTTTCACCAGCCACTGCTCCTAATTACAATTATCCAGATGATGATGGTGGTGAGCTTCACTTCTTGCATGACAAGCTCTACTCTCTGCATGGCAAGATCATGGCCTTCTTGGTCATCCTTGTTTTCTCTCTCTTCATTCTTTTCCTCGTCCTCATCCCCTGTCTCAGCCGCGCCACCGGCACGCGCTGGAGCTGCCGCCCAAGGACCCCTCCGCCGGTGCCCCAAACACCGCCGCAATTGAAGGATGAATTCACAGCAAACAGCTAATATATATATATATAATAAGCTAGCTTTCTGAACTAATTTTAGGTGTCAACAACATGGATCAAGTGCTCTTATGCAGGTAATTTGATCTAGAAGTGCTTTTGGGGTTGTGAGATTTCATACATATATATATTTCAATTATGGCTTGTATAACGGTTGCATGTAATTAAGTTTACCGTTACTACTTGATGTACATATGTTGTATTTATTTTTTCATAATCAAACAATATGCTCAATAGCAAATCCATGAATTGAAGAAAATTTGTTGTAATTATAAAAATTCTATAAATATGCGCAGATACATGTACGTCTATGATATATCCTAGAAAGGGTGTTTGTGTGTGTGTTGGACTGGTGGTGGGTGAGAAGAATATCGGAGTCTGAGCCTGCACCGCCATGTTCAAGTACCCTATACTTTATGCACAACAGCCATGTTTTCCTTCGAACACCAAGATTGAGATCAATCAGCATCCCTGTTTCTTCACAATTGTGGGATGCTCACATTGTTGAAATGTTTGGTCATTTTCATCCATATTTGCCACCATTTTTCTGTCACTTATCTGTACAACCCCAACAATTAATTATTTTCTATATGTTCTTCGCATTGTGAATTTGTGGTATTTAAATCTCTTTCCACAGTAACAAATGAAGTAAATCTCCAATTTCGTCAGACCTTAGAAGTATGGTATGGCAGCTAGTTGAATCGGAGGTCAATTTTGGGTAGAATAGAAACATAAAACATAGCAAGAAAATGTTGTACTGCATATTTTTTTTGGGAGATCACCTTAAAGATGTACTATTAGCTTTTCAACAACCTTTTATCTTTGTTTGGTGTTCATAAAAAATAATAATAATAATAATAAATAATCAATGTCGTAGTGCATGTATTCCAGTTGTGAACCACTAGCTTTTCGTGATTGACCTCTCCCTTCCAAAAAACGACCCTGCAGTGTGTTCTTTCATGTTATCAAGTCGAAAAAGAGAAATGACTTTGGTGGGCCTAATTGTCCTATTTTGTAAATCAAACAAATATCAGCAGCTTTTTGAGGCATGTAAACAAAATAAATTCAACTCCAGCATTTAAATAAACCAGATTTAACATATTCTAAGAACATAACATTTTGATCCAAATACTGTTACAAGGAAACTGTTGTTAATCGAATGTAGTACATAATTTTATAAGTACAAAGTGGATGCCTACTAATTCACCTCTGAGTTGGTCAAAAGGTCACCAAGGGAACTTCATCCCTGTTTAATGTTCAACTTTGGCCACAATTATATGAAAATGCCTGGCATCAGAATACAACACTGCCCACCAACATAGAAGCAACGGGAACTGTCAGGTTGTCATCAAGCTCGGTGCTTAAAGGATGGGATTCAACCAGTGCCGCGACAAGAGATACGAGCAAGAAACCCAATACCATTTCCCAACACCCCTGAATGTAGCCCAACATAGAGAAATAGTACATGAACCTGTAACAACAATATTTATCAGTGACAATCGAGTTTCCAGATAGATACTCGTGGAAAGACAAACAAAAGTTACCCGATAGACGTGATGAATCCTGCAGCTGCCATCGCAATGCTACCAGCAAAGGATTTGTTTCTGTTGTAGGGAATTTTCAGACTGCCAAATTGCCTTCCTACAATGTCAGCTAAACCTGATATCCGCAGGTTAAAAAGAATTATTCTTAGCACCAGTCATGGTATTAAAGTATATAAATCCAACCAAGTATTTTCTATGTTTCTATCACTTGTGTGACAAACAAAATTCAATTACCTAAACAGTTAAAATTTCCAGAAAACTCAGATTAAATCTCACAAACTAATTGTCTCTAAGAACAATACCATCTCCAGCACAGAGGTTGCAAATTGCTGCAATTGCAATAGGGGAGGTTCTCCAATACATGACACATGCCAAAGTGATAGTGCAAGCATAGTACAGTGGTCCCTTGAGTAGTTCCCTGAAGCATGGAGTAAGCCAAGGACAAACAGAATCCACGTAAAGAAACATAAGGATCAATGGTAGAAGATAAGTATTGGTTCATGTGATTGGTCTCCATTCAGACTTGTAACATGACAAGCTAACAGAATTATGACTCTTTTTTTACCCTAGTTGATACTCACCCCCCTTTCAAGGAATTGTTTGCACATAAGAGGAGTCGATCCTTAGATCTGATGCTTCTTGAGGAACTAGGGCCAAGTGACTTGCTCACTCCTAAAATAGACTAATATAGATTAATGATTACAGGCCTTTTATTCACTAGAAAAACAAAAGTTAGAAATAGGAAGAAATTGCTCATTTTCTTCAGTCTCTTTAGTGACATATACTTAATATCTACTCTAAAAGTCTTTCCTAAGGACTACTTCATCACAACAGAAAGGCACCTATGCCAACTATTCAGACCTATTGAGACAAGCTTGTTATCATACAAGCTAGACTTGTTAAGCAATCAAGCTCAAAATATAGGCTTCAGCATTGCTTGCATAATTGCTAACAAGCTTGAATGAGCTTCTCAATGAGTCGAGCCCACAAAAGAACTGAATTCATTTCCTGCCCCATAATACAGAAGATAATATTTAGACAGCAGCCCAGCTGGAAAAGGCATTTGTTTTCTTTTTCTGTAATCAGATCAATTGAGCCAAAGTTGGATTGCTTCAGCATATACCAGAAAGTGCAGATCGGTCAGAACAAAAAATTATGAAAGAATTTGATTTCTCTCTCAATCTCTCCCAACTTTAAAGGAGAAATTCTGAGAAGAGAAAAGAAGAGTTAAAAAGAAAAGCAAACTTCTTAAAGATAGGGGCAAGGATAGGAAAAGAGGGAGAGAGTTCACCCAACACCCCACCATTTCCCTCCAGCTTAGTGGGCAAAAAGAAAGAGAAACCTGCTATCATGGATTGATTGATACAAGATTATGAACCATGCTGTCAAAAAAAATTAATAATAATAATAGTAAAAATAAAGTAACCACCTCTTCATTACCCCTTTCATTCATGCTCAACCAAATTAGGATGGAAGTAAAGACACTTTCCTTTTTCTAGGAGTACCTTTCTGATTCTCATACCTTACCTTCTTCTCAATTTTCCACCCCTTCTACCACATAGAGCCAAAGTAACAGCCAGTGATAAGATTTTTTTTTCCTTCCCCGGAAATTAACAGCCAGTGATAAGTTGCAAGTAGTTAAAACATAAATTTTACCAAGGGATGACAAATCAATCTTTCATTTGGAGTTGTCACCTGTAGTCTCCAAATCTGCTCATTGACTTGACAGTGGCCTCATCTTTCCATATTCCAAGTCCCAAAAGAAGCATTTTTATTATATTGATGCCTGGAATAAGAGCTGCTAGAACCGCTCCCTGACGACCAGAACTGCAATAATCATCAATAGCAAAAATTATCAAGCAGATATAAAAGATAGAATGGAAAACTTCTTAAGTCATGTGAAATTACCTGAAGAGTGGCCAGCAAAGCATGAAAATTAGTCCAATGCTTATATGCACAAGCTTCCTATTTAGTTTCTGAACACAAAAATATAAAGGATAATAAGCATTAATATATGAACTAGGCATAAGAGATGTTTAAATGAATGGATTTAAAACAACTTTTTGTATGCAGATGCAGCAGTTTATCCCATTTCAGCTGGATGACTAGGAAAAACGAAATTCGAACCACAGATATTTTTATAAATTTTTTTGTTATCCATCAGGCAGGAAAATAGAATGAAGATAACATGCCCATCAAGTGGCCCTAATCTCATTTTCACAAGGTAACACATCCACAAAACCAACCCAATGTAATTTGAGAACAATGAAACTGGTTACATATTTGCAATTTTGCATCCCTCTCTAAACAACATTCCACTTCAAATTTTCATGGAACCCAAGCTTCATTTTTATTGTAAAAAGAGTTATGCATTCGACAACTGACCACACCATGTGCATTTTTGCACTTCTTTTCTTTTAATAAGTTGCAGTTTTACACTTGTAGCCTCATTTTATAAACAATTTATTTTCCCAGAAAGTACAACTTCTCTGACTTAAAAAGTTGCAGAAAAAATAGTGGGATTCATGGGCTGATAATGATAAGATCGAAGTACATTCAAATCTTGAGAAATCCATATTAGGCCCTTAATTTTATAAGAACCTCTTGGGCTCTTATAGTCCTTTAAGAAAGGAATGTTGATAGAATTCGACACCCGTTGTTTCTATAGCTTCCAATACTGAAATGATAATTTTGGCTATAAGGTTTTATTTCTCATGACTTTGCTTAAAATTAATTTTCCCAAACAAAAAGAACATACAAATACATCTTTTATAAGAGCACATATCCTCCTCCTCTCTTTAAATGATGCAGAAAGTTGAGAAGTACCGCTCTTTTTGCTTTCAGAGTAGAAGTGACATATCGAGTTTGAGATGACAATAGGTAGTGGAGATGGCTCACCTCATAAATATATAACCATAGTATCAAATCCCATTTTGACTGATCATACCCAAAGGGCGCCTTGGATTTGGAATTTGAAGGAATTGATTTCAACATTTAACTAAATTTTCTCCAATTCCAACTGGCAAGATAAAGAATTACCCACTTTCCCCTTATTGATGCACACAAGAAGATATCAGGTCAGCATAGCTATTAAATGTGGACCTGTAATTCAGTATTCTTGCTGATTCCTAATCTTCCCCCAAAGTTTCGTAGTATATCAGCAAGAACTTTGAGATTTTTTCTAATGACACTATGAGGTTAGCAATCTTCATATCAGCAACAAAATCTTCTTGAATCTGTACTCTAGGACATGAAATCCATCCACATATAATTCCTATACTATGTGCTATGATTAGATCTGAGCAGTATATCAAAACATTAGGTCAAAAGCTCTAAAATTAGCATCTTTATGCTTGAGGGCACGCACTTCAGGCCAAAATCTGTGTATGTTTCAGTATTTAGATTGCTTTTTTTTTTTTTTACTTTTTACTGAAAGACAAAAAAAAGAAAAGAAAAAGAAGTAGAGAGAAATGATTTTTAAGTAATGAAACCAACCTGGTCTAAGAGCCCTCGTTTGGCGGTTTCCTCCCAAAATCGGAGCACGGAGAGAGCGACGCCACCGGAAAACGCGGTGGCGCAGATATCGCGGGCGACCGTGTTTCCCGCGAACATGGATGCCGTCGTCAGCTTGCAGCGAACAGTTCGGGATTTCGGCGGCCGGAATCTGACACCGAGACAACTAACGATACCGGCGGAGAGAGTGTAGTAATTAGGAGTAGAGACACGGAGATATAGGCCGAGATCTGAGTTGGGTCTTTGACTGGTTAGCTTGGGTTCAAGAAGGTCAGACTTGAACCTGACTTTATTGACGAAGCAGTTGTTCAAGTAATTTGCCATTACTCGATCCTATTGGTTTTCGCAAATATATCCCCATTTCCTACTTGTACTTCTCTCTATTTCTTGATTCCTGATTTTGGATATCACAAATTTTCTGGATTTAAGAAAAACTTCCTTCCACTTTCTTCAACCAATTTCATTATATTATACAGGGTAAAGTACAAAAAAAACCCCATCAACTATTGGTCATATGCAATTAACCCCCCTGATCTACTAATTTCACATATAACCTCCTTGAACTAATTAATTTGGTGCAATTAACCCCCTCCGGTGATAAGCCTGTTGACTTTGGCTGTGAAGACGCACGTGATAGGTCACGTGACAAACCAAATTTCTTTAAATGACCGTACAACCCTTTACCTTTACACCCAAAACCACTTAAAACACCCAAACACGCCCTTATACTAAATATACACTGTTCATCGTCAATAAAACAGATGATACCATCACCACCGTCCCGTCCGTCCCCACAACTACACCTTCGAGGATGAAGATGGCCGGTGAAACAGATCCGGCTGTGAGGATGGAAATGACCGGCGAGACAGATCTAGGTCTTGGACTTGGATTTGCAGCACGGCAAGCTTGAGGATGTTGATGGCAGTGAAAAGCCGGTGAGAACAGATCCGGCTATGGTGGATCGAGCTCGTGGCGGATCTGGAGGAGACAAGAAAAGAGCTGTGAGAATAGATCTGGTGGCTGTGTGATGAGCTCTTGGTCGGCGCGGAGCCGATAAAGGCAGGTCGTGTAGACAGATGACTTTTGGCCGTGAGGTGCACAAGCTAGGACTCCGATAACCAATATGCACATGCTTGCCAATATCTCAATTATTGTGCTGACAGCGTACCAACAAAATTTAATATATATGTGGTATAAAATGTTGAAATCAAGATTTCGGAAACCCTACCAACAATCACAACATAAAACAAAGCCCATACACATGCAAAAATCTCTACTACAAACACTTTATTAAAAAAATGTCAAAAACCCTAGAAACTTAGTGACACTTAGTATTCGGTAACCATAACAAACAATAACATCAAAATAATACATAAAGTACCGATTTTGTAACTAAAATCAACATTTGGAATAGTAAGCACACTTACGATTCAACCCTCTTTCTTGCACAATCGATTGTGAGACTTCAGATTTCTTCAATCGTCAATACAAAACAGCAAAACCACAAAATAACTCCTTCAAATCGTAGTTCAGAGACTCTTACTTTTCATCGCACTTCGAAGCCCTACATTCGTGACCTTGCATCTCCTCTTCTCTAAGCACTTAATACAAATGGTTACAAGTTACAACACTTAGGCAACGTTTGGGAAAACTGAGTGTATATCCATGAGGGGCATTGAGAGTATTTCACGCTTATTATTTATTTTCATATTTTTTTTTCTTAATTACAATGGGTAGTTTTGTAAATCTACAATGAGGTCAGCCGAAAAGTGGCCGGAATTGCATTTCAGGGGTTAATTTGCACGATTTTTGATAGTTGTGTTACTGACTTGTTCATTTTTGTAGTTCAGGGTGGTAAAATGCGAATCCGTGATAGTTTAGGGGGATTTTTTGCATTTTTGCAAAACAAAAACAAGGATTCTAATTCAGATTGATTATACAATATTTTCATATCATGCAACAACAAAATTATATAATTAATATTTTATAGTTTTATATTTATTACGAGACTATTATACTATAATAATATAGTGCGCAAGTTATATGGGACCAGTTACATAATGTCTCTCTTTTAGTAGGTGTGTTCGCATAACATGTCATTGATATGCTTAGTCAATGAAAATTAATTTAAAAATTAATTAAGAGTAATTTTTATAAATAAGTGGGATCAATTTTATAAAATAATGTATTTTTATTAACCCCACAAGGGAGTATTCGAATTCATAATTATAGTGGCTAGAAAATCATATTTCAATGGCATGTTAGAAAATTTTAAAGTATTTTGACAAAACCATGAAGTATGGGAGTAGATACTAAGTGCCCTCGCGCCATGTCATTAGTCGGCCCACCTACTTAATACAAAATAACTGATAAGAAAATAATACGTTATATGTCATTGAATTGGTATATTAATGATATGACATGACTGATAGACTCAATATCTACTCCCTCCGTTTCATAAAAAGTATCACTTTTAGAGAACTGTGATTCTGACAAATTGAACTGACACGGTTCTCCATTAATGACACTTTTTTGGGACGGAGGTAATAATATAGAAAGTGTTTGACTTCTGCTTCTTATTATATTGAAAAATAGAAAGATAGCATCATTAAAATATTACCATTATTAAACTAAGGGACAAGAAGAAAGTTGAATGGATAAACTAATGAATCTTAGTAGGGAAACATTTACAATATAATCTAATCAAATAATTCGACACAATAGTCAACAAATTAATTTCTAATTTGATATTTATCATATATTTAATCTGATGATCCGATCTATTATTGGTAAAGAAATTTAACATCAAAACACATTGACATTAATAAAGATTAAAAAATAAAAAAAAAAATTGGATGCTTAATTTGTTGGCTTCCAAAAGTCGTGAAGGCGGCTAACCAAATACAAAATTACAGTTTAAATTTTACAAACAAAAAATACGAAATTAAACAACGGCTAATTCTAAAGTGAGATTTTTATTGGTCGTTGTGGGTCATAAACGCATCATATTGTAGGCTTGTAGCGTTCAAGTCAAATGGCCTGTTTTTGACTTTGTCGTGATTGGGTCTGTTAACCCACCTACGCCTCCGGCTGCTTTCGAGTTTGGGCTTAGCCCAGCTCTATATAAATATATGCAATTGACTTCTCAAAAAAAAATACCACGAAGGCATAGAATCTCAAACAGTTGCACCTAATTTATTTTCATTTTTACTTTTTATTATTATTATTTTTTTTGAACAATACTTAAGTCTAACATTTTACCTTTTATTTTTACCTTTTATTGTACATCACATTTGAGAAGAAGATAATAATTATGGGGTAAAAGAGCAAAATACCCCTTTAAACTATTCTATTATTGCATAATGAATTATTTTTGGAAACAAGTTGCTCTTTTGAATTATTTAAACAAAATCCTTTCTTAAAGGCCACTTGAAACTAATTTCCAACCCACTGAAAAGCACAATTACTAATTTACCCTTATTTTTAATTTATTATAAAAAAATTAAAATATATACTATTATGAAATAATCACTTTGCCCGTATCTTCTTTTTCCTTTTATTTTTATAATATGGGTAAAGATTATTTCATAGTAACATATACTTCGATATTTTATAATAAATTAAAAGTAAAGGTAATTAGTAATTATATTCTTTAGTTAATCGGAAATTAGCTTCCTGATAGTTTGAGTGAGTTTTTTTTTTTGCTCTTTTGCCTAATAATGGAGACTAGTTCATCATCTGCATCTCAGTACCCTCTATTTTTCCGATCATCAGAAACTTTCTATGGCTACGAAAGTCGTTTTCGGAGATCGAACCCGTCCTCAAAGATCTCTGGCTAAAGTATAATCCCATCATCCCTCTGCATATAGGGTCTCGGTCGGCCATCTTCATCGGCAACCACTCGCTCACAAAGTCCTCGTTCAGAACGGCGCCATCTTCTCCGACTGCAAGATCCTCATCAAAAACCAACACAACGTCAGCTTCACCAAGGCGGCGCGTGAGGTCGAGTTCTGGCGGCGCGTGAGAAATCCCATCTCCGCTGGAAGACTCCACCGTGCTGCTCTGGCTCGGGCTCTTGTCTGCTGCGACTACCTCCGAAGGCAGAGAGAAGTTGGTCTTGGCTTTAGTGCCTCGGAATTCTTTGGCAGCGGCGTCGTAGGCTCTCGCCGCCTCTTTTGCCGTGTCGAAAGTCCCCAACCAGACGGCTCTTCCTTCCGGGATCTCTTATCTCGGCGGCGTATCGTCCCCATTGCCTCTTTCTCACTCCTCTGTAATGCACCTCCTTAACTCCACTACTCTTTGCTTTAACCTTTTCCTTCATAGCCATTCTTGATGATCTCAAGAATCAATATGGGAGAATATGTTTGTGTTATGAGATTCAGTACACAACCACAGGAATTCAATATAGGAGAATATGGTTGTGTTAGGAGATTTAGTACACAACCACAACCACAGGAATGAGATTCAGTACACAGACGAAGAGTTGAGAGAACTGAGAAATTAGGGATGGAGAGACGTGAGAACGAACTAGGAATGGGTTATACCCAAAAATCCAAAAATTGATGGGCAATGCTTAATTTAATTTTATATTAATTTCAGATACTTGTCACAATTTGATTGGGCCATGTACCCAAGTTGGATGAAGTTCATCCAATTGGGTTGGACCCAAGTACTGTCGTTATTTTTTTTATTGTAAACTTGTACACCATCTTTTGATGGGGTCTTCTTCAATCCTACTCCCACTGATAAGCACAATTCCATTGAAGAAATTGCATAAATTGCAGGATTCATCCCTACCAAAGAAATTGTGTTCTTCGACCTTCATGGCTGATGTAAAAAATTACAAAACTCAACCCTTGAATTGAGTTACGAATATATATGTGCTCGTTGGGAAGCCTCAGCCATTGTGCCATCGCCGCTACTGGTCCCCGTCCCCGTTGCCGGAGCCCAACCTCATCACCTTGGTCGTCACCACTGCAAAGCCCTAGGTTGTTCTGTTGGGATCGATTTGGTAAGGGAAATAACTGTTGTCGGGTCTGCTGGTCGCCATCGTCAAAGCTTGCAATGGTTGTCACCGTCGCCGGAAAGTCATGGTCCGATTGTAAGCTTTGGTTTGCTTGCTGGTCTTGGCGTCTGCGGTGGTGGTGTTGAAGATAGAGACGTAAATGTTGAGATGGGATACGACAGGCTGTGAGAGAGTATATTGGTCACGTGAGGGTAACCGTGAAGGGTATTTTTGTCAATTAACATTAATAATAGTTTGTGAATATAATTAGGTTAAATAATAAGAAACAAATATGTTTTTTGAAACTTCGTGAATGTTATTGTTTAAAAAGTAGTTGACCAATCCTGAGTGCAATTGATCAAAATATTGAGGTGTCATCGCGTTAGTGCAATTAACCTTTTAAATTTGATTATTTAAGTTGTATTGGATTTTAAAAAG